ACAGGACTGCTGTAATGGTGGTATTTCAATATAACTGAGCCCTGTCCACATGCATAATATTCTACACATCTAAGTCAATGCCTGATCACACTGAAGAGTAGGTGTGGCAGGGCAATCTTAAGACTGTGGCAACACCACTGAGAGTATTCTGTGCTCTTCTGTCTCTTCTGTCTCCCACAGATTTTGAGGAAAGCCTGGTACACAGGAAAGTCAGCAGAAACATCCATCAGGTGTGAGAGGCAGTCTTCACAGCCAATATTCTAATTATACAGTCATAACCTTCTGATCTCACTGACTTAATTCTGAGAGTTAAGCCAAAACGCAATCTTTCGAACAATTCTGATTCACCTGCATATTCACATCACACTCAGGTCTTGTTCAGTGCTACTCAGATCCCAGTGAATGCTGCTGCAGTGTTACTTTCAGAGCCCATAAGCAATAAGACTTACAAAACACCATTTACAAATACCTCACACAGTTTGCTTGCATTTGTCTCACTGCCATTCTACACACTATAGAGACACAGTAAAAGCTTTCCACCTTACTATTTAAGCAGCAAAAACATCTGATTACTCTTCCACTCACAGCATAGTTACAACCATCAAAAAATGTGATCATAGTTCCATTCAGTATTAGATCTGTCACTGCTGTAGACAATAAAATCTCTGCGGCATCTGGCTCACCTCTCACCCTTACTCCATTGGATGAGTAAAGCCACTGCTATTAAATAAAATAATTTAGGAGTTAACTGTCCTCTTTTGATGAAAGTCACAACAGCATCTTAATACTATATATACTACAAATGCACACAGCTTGGAAAGAACATACTGCACTTCCATTCGCTTCATTTGTTGTCGAACAACCGGAAAAGTTACAAACCACTACAGACATCACTTCGGTACTTTCTTTTTTTAAGAAATTACAGAATTTCAGAGCTCCTCCTCTTGGTTTCAGTGCCAAGAAAGTGGTATTTTGGAATAATGTGCTCTCACTCGCAGAATGAGAGCTGTGTTGACCTGAGCTCTGCCTCAAACACCAGACAGACCTTCAACATACCTGTGGATGCCGACTACCAGCAACAATACCGATCAGAATGCTATCAGGGGTTTCTAATTGTGCATCTGCAACCTCTTTAATTCTATCAGAATTACCAAAGATTGCTCCAAAATACTTTTCCAGAGACTTAACAGAAACTACTGTATTTGCATGAAAGCACACCATCATCCTCCTGTACCCAAGAGGACATCCAGAAGTTGCATTACCTTTAGTCCTACTGTTAGTCTTTTCTTAAGTCCTGCAGTATTATAAATCCTCAAGGAATTTCACTTACAGAACTTTTTTTTTTTTTTTTTTCCTGAAAGGAGGAAGTTGTTGCTGTATTGTTTAATAACAGATTTAAATCATACAACAAGATTACATGGTTAAGAAACAGCACACCATTTTACTAAAGTGGATTTCTCCCTCTCTAGCTTTTAAGTGTAAGATGGAAGTCCTTTGGATTTCTCTGCCAAAAAGCTATCAGGAGGGCTGACAGGAGCTATGAAAGAATCATCCTGTTTCAAACCCTGTTCCAAAAGGAATGCATTTGCTGCAATTTAGTTGCTGGAGAAGTTAAAAACATTGCTTTTTCCTTTATTTTGGAAATTGGAATAGCTATCACGTGTACAAGAACATTCTGCAAGCACAAAAAGAAATCATTAATCACCCTGGTGCTACAGATGAGCAACCAGAAGCAGAGAAACAAAGCAACTGACTGCAGTCCTTCGACCAATAAAATGAAGCACTGAGCAGGTGACAATGGTTCCACTTTAGAGGTAAACTAAAAAGCAGAACCAAGCAGCAACTTAACTCACATTAACGTTTCTTTCCATCTCATTTCTATCTAAAAGCTTCACTTAAAAAATCTAAAAGACAACAACATTCTACCTGTCAACGAACTGGTTGTGGATAGTTACTTTTCAAGAACCAAAAAAAAGTATCAAAATAAAACTCAAATCTTGCTTATGAGGGAAAAAAAGCTCATTCTAGAAGTAATTCTGAATGTACATCTGTTTCACGTAAATCCCCCTCGCATGTTTTCGTAGCTCACTGAAAAAAGTCTGCTGTGATAACTAGGTACTATGCATTTCCAGGTGGTACACTTTTCACTCCAAAGTCAAACACCAGCAGACAAGTGATCTGCTGTTTCAGATCACATCAAGAATATACAGAGACACTAAATGTTATCAAAGATGGTAACTTTTCATCCGTACCTACCACAGAACTACACTTATCTACCAGAGAACAGCCACTGAAGAAACAACTGCTACTACCAAGTGTTTTGATGCAGTCTTCAGCCACATTGTACATACAAAAAAGTGTAAAAAGGACTTCAGAAGGCGGTGTTAATGCACTAGCTGGAGATAACGCTATGAAATCTCTCTCTTCCAAAAGTGAAGCACACCGAAACCATTCTCATAATGCATTTCACTTTTTTTCCCCAAGGAATCTCTCACACAATATCTCTGCAGCTTCTAACTGTCCACTTAAAATGCTGAAATCCACCTAGCGGTATTTATAACAGATTTGATAACCATCAACTGACGTCATGTATGATATCAGCTGAATTTCCCCAGGATTCAACAGCAAAGTGAAAGCTTCTTCTGAAAGGCAAGAGGAGACTGATTAGGGCAGCTAAACCTGCAGGCTGAGGATTCACAAGGCAAGAAACAAATCAAGATGAAGGTGAGCTGTGACCCACAGGCAGTGTCCAAAAGCACACTTGCGCCTCCAACCGCTGCAGTTCCCCCAGGAAGTACCTGCGGGCATCGCAGGGCCTAGGAACCGAAAGTGAGACCTCGCATGCTGCACTTGTGTTCCCTTAACGCCAACCAGGAGCTGAAGCTCAGCTTTCCCCACACAAACCAGAGGAGAAGTGAAGGCCTCACGCTGCTTCTTAACTGTTTCAGAGTCAGAGTTGGTGGCTGTACGACAATGCAGCTACCAATAGTTTTCCAACAACTATCTACAGAAATGCCCTAAAATATTTAGCGGTGGTCGCTTTGCACCCAGCAGGTGATGTACACTGCCAGGTAGGAAAGCACATAGCCACTCACTATCCTGCAGCCTGCACGGCTTCCCAACACACTGTGACCTCACTGCACAGTCTGGTCTTCTGACTGGAGGCCGTGCATTATGACCTCTGAGTTTTTAAAAGATACTGCGTGGGAGTGTTAGCAAGATAAGCAAAGAGAAAGCAAGCGTTTTCATTTTAGAAGTCCAACCTGAGCAAATTAAGACTCAGAGCTACCAAAGTCGGTGTGAATAAGTGCGATCTGAGTGCATTTTAAGCCCAGAGCACGGGAAAAGGAATCCACTGCTCAAGCGGATCGAGGAATCGCCACACGCCTGAAGCACGTCCACAGTAAGCAATCAGAAAGACCTCCTCCTGCTGAGGCCAGGCCTCATTCCCGGCTCACAGGGGAGCTCCTTGGCGGGGCCGGCGGCCTTCTTGGCGGCTTTTGTGAGGGAGAAACGAAGTCTCGCTCCAGCACTCCGACGCTAACTCCCCTATTAGCTCCCCGCACGCACGCAGCCCGAGGAGCCCCGCTGCCCGCCCATTCCGCGCCCCGGGGAGGCCGAGGCGCCCCTGCGGCCTTTGTGTTCCCCGTCGCCGCCTTCTCTGCCCTCCCCTGCCGGCGGCACGCTCCGTACCTGTTGTTGCGAACGCTGCTGAGCACGCACAGCACCAGCTCCAGGTAGGTCCTCAGCAGCTCGAGCCACCTCGGGCACAGCGGCGCCGCCTCCCCGTCGCCCGCCGCCACCGCCGCGCCCTCGCCCGCCGCCGCCCCGCCGCTCGGGTAGTTGTCGGCGGCGAACTGGACGCGCAGCTCTCGCACGAACCAGCCGCACTTGCGCATGAGGAACTCGAGGCGCGGGCGCTCGGCCGGCGAGACGCGGAGGCTGAGGCGGAGGCGCGGCCAGAGGGCCGGGTAGAAGAGGCACTCCCGCCAGTGCGAGCAGGCGGCCGAGGCCCGCAGCCGGTCGGGGCCCGCCAGGAAGGAGAAGATGTGCACCACCAGCTCGCTGGGCAGGGAGCCGGCGCCCACCGCCTCCCCGCACACCGACATTCCTGGCGCCGGCCCGAGCCCCGCTGCTGCTGCGGAGGCCACAGGCGGCGGCGGCCCCGGCCTCGCCTGCGGCTCCTGCGACAAAAACAACAACATCAATGACAAGGCGAGGGGGCGGGCGCCGGCCGGGACGCGGCCGCCGCCGGGACGCACCACCCGCGCCGCCGCCGGGGGAGGAGCGGGCTCTACCACCGCCCAGAGCCGCGCGGGTGTGCGAAGGGAGGTGGGCCGTGTCCCCGCCCGCGCAGCGCCGCCTGGGCCGTACCGCGTTGGTCGCGAGGGTGGAGTGTGCAGGCGCCGCGCCGCGGGCGGGCGGGGAGAGCAGGGCGGCGCGGGGGAGGGGGCGGGGGGCCGCAGGCGCCCCGCGGCGGGAATGGAACGTGCCGCCGTTCGAATGGCGGGCGGGTCCGGCCCTACGGCTTCCGCGGGTGGGGTGGGGGTGGGGGTTAACCCTTCCGCGCCCGGCGGCCTCAGCCTGAGGCGGTGCGTGGCTCGGGAGCCGCGAAACCTCCTGATACTCCCCGGTGCGTGTAGAGAAACGCGCGGCGTTTCCTCGAACCCGTCCGAGCGGCCCCGTCGGACTTCCTAGGGCAAGCGAGGCCAGGAGCAGGAGAAGCCCCCAGCCCGGAAGGCTGACGCGGGGGGCAGTCCCGCTCCTACGCGTCTATCCTCATTTTAATGCCTGCTCAACCGGTCCACCTTGCTGAGTCAAAGGGCTCCTGAGGTCACCGAGTGTCTCAATGTAACCGCGCCCGCAGCTCAGTGCTCTGCGGAAATGACATGGGGAGAAAGTGCCGCGTGGGGCCGCCGGGCCGCCGCCGTGCCGGGACGGAGCCCGGCGGAACGCGATAGAAGCTCAGCCCGAGCCGGCGGTACAGCCGGGAGGCCCCGGAGAAGGCGGCGCTGCGGTTCGGATGCGGCGCTCCTCCCAGCGCTCACCATAGAGCTGAGGGTGGCGCCCTCCTCAGCGTAGGCATTTCCGGGCGGCACCGCGTCACGTCCGGGCGGCGGAGATGCCGGTAAGGCTGCCGGGCGCTCCGTCGGGACTCGCTTTCTGCCGCGGGGCTGGGGCTGCCCCCGCGCTGGCGGGAGGGAGGGTTAGGGCACGCGGCCCGCTGGTGTGCGGCCGCAAGGAGACGGCGCCGCGCTGGCCCCGGGCCGCGCCTGCCGCTCTCCCGGGCCCGTTATCCCGGGACGGGCTGAGAGGTGAAGGAACGCAGCGGTAGGGCTGCGGGGCGGGGCGCTCCGCTTTGCTCTCGCCGCCATCGCTGCTGTCCCAACCCTGTGCGGCAGGTACACCGAGCACCGTGGGAACGCTTTTGATTCTCTGTTAGGTGGTTTTGTAATTGTGATAAATGGGAGGTGTGGCAGGAACTTCGGTTTGTTCACCTCCCATTAGTATCAAAGCCCTTTTTTGGTAGTTAGGAATTATACATTCCTGCTTTGCCTCGTAGTCCAAAGAAGGAATATTGTACAATTGTCTGTGAAATAGCATCTGAAGAGAACTTACCTTACAAATCCATATCTGTGTCCATAGAAATTTGTCACCACCACCAGTTTGATGTGATAGAGAACAAGCAGAGGTTTCATAGTGATGAGGTGCATGTATTGCCTGTCAGACATTTGGATAGTCCCCATATGGGATTCAGTTCCTGTCCCTTGCATGCTGATGTTTGTGGTTTTCAATCAGTTCCATACACTTCCAGGTAAACAAGATTCTCAATGAAAATTATACGTTACAAGGAAAGCTCTTACAGTGGGTCCACAGAGCCACTAAGATGATCAGAGGGCTGGAGCCCTCCTCTCCTATGAGGAAAGTTTGAGGGAACTGGGCTTGTTTACCTTGGAGAAGAGAAGGCTCTGAGGAGGCCTCATTGTGGCCTTCCAATACTTGAAAGAGAGTATAAATAGGAGGGGGAGTGGCTGTTTACAAGGGTGGATAGTGATAGGACAAGGGGGAATGGTTTTAAACTGAGACAGATGAGGCTTAGGTTAGATATAAAGAGCAAGTTTTTTTACGTAGAGGTTGGCGACACTGGAGCAGGTTGCCCAAGGAGGCTTTGGATGCTCCATCCCTGGAGACGTTCATGGCTAGGCTGGATGTGGCTCTGGGCAGCCTGGTCTGGTGGTTGGTAACCCTGCACACAGCAGGGGGATGAAACTAAATGACCACTGTGGTCCTTTTCCCAGGCCATTCTATGAAAGCATGGAAAATAGCCACTGAAAAATCAGTTTCAGATGTTAAGATATTATTTTGGTGGTTCAAGAACATTTGAAGAAACCTCTATGAGCTTTCTCATATATTTCAAAGTACATTCTGCAGTTACATGCCATATCTGCTGACCTTTTCTTGCTCATGCTTTTTGTTTGTTCATTTCCATCTCTTTATGTTCCCTTTTTTTATTGTTTTAGGTTAAACCAAGTATTTGGTCAACGCGATTTTGTGCAGGAGGACCATCACTTTGTTTTATACTTCAGAAAATATGAGAATAAGCAGAGTGTTGTTCTCTCCCAATTAAAAGTACATATCTGTGCCTTGCTGAGGACAGCTGCAGGAATCAAACACTTGAATCAATGTTATCGGATGAGTTAGAATCCAAACCAGAGGTGAGTTTGGTTCCCAGAGAAGTTCACAGACAACACTTAGGAAAAGTTCAGAGATTACTGAGTTTGCTGCTTAGATTTTTTTTTTTTTTTTTTTCCTTTAGTGATACTTTCATTTTTTTGTGTACGATAAAAGATTGAAGAATACTTCAGGCTTTTTCCCTTCCTCTCAGGTTTAAGCCAATACTCTTGCCTGTTCTCAGGTTACGTTTCTTCTTGCAGTATTATAATGTTCTTTCTGTTAAAAGAATAAAATAAATTGCTGTACTGACTACTTCTTTTCCTCAAAAGAAACTGACTTTACTTGGCTTTAAGGAATGTGAATTATTATTATTATTATTTTTTTTTTTTAATGAGCCAGTTCTGTTTTAAAAGTGCTCGTGTTTCCAATAAGGAGTTGGCAGGAGCAGTAGATGATTGTACCCAAGGGTTCCCAGTTGCTCAGCAGGCTGAGGCTGCTTGCCTGTCCCCAGGCAATAACATGTGTATGTGCTGTGCATATGCAGCTGACTGTAGATATATGCACATCTAAAGTGTCTTTAAGAGATAAGCAGAAACAGTGTGAATGATGCAAAAAGCCATGTTATTTCTTGCAGGGTAATAAGGCTTAAAGTTTGTAAGCAGAACATGGCTATACCCAAAGTCATTTTGCACATACTCACGTTCACAGATGTCTTTTGCCTCTACCATAGTTAAAGTCTTTCTTGTACCTGTACCAGACCCACAGCTTTTTAGCCAATTTCCACTAGGAGCTTGGGTCTTTCCAGTCTCTGGTTTCTTCCCATTCACATGTCTGCTGACAAGCAGAACACCTACTTGCAGGAGAAGTATTCAAGAATAGAGTTTATTTAGTAAAGAGAAGGGAATTTGAGGGGTTAACCTGTGACTAGGAACTCTAATCTCTCTCTCTCTTCTCCATGGTTCTTCCTCCATTCACTTGGCTTCATTCTGGCATTGATCTTCCCCCAAGATGTTGCATTATAAGTTTTACGCGTCTCCCCGTCCCTGTTGTGCCCTTTGCTTTTGATCTTTCCCATGATGCCTGTATGATCAATGAATATAAAGATGTTATAATTATGAAAAAAACAAGAGAGTTTGACTAAGCAGGTTATAATAACAAAAAGAATAGATAGAAAGCTTACCCATATCCTGGGCTCGCTGTAAAACTCCAGAGGAGGAATCTCCAGAAGAGATCCTTCCCCTCTGGTAGTCAGCTCTTAAATGGGTCTAGGAGAGGTGAATTGCCTTCACCTGTGCTTCTCTGGCTGACTCATTGCTCGCTTCAGGTGATCAATCAGAGGTTCAGGCCCTGATTCAGCAGTTCCCATTCAGTGCCCATTCAGGTAAGAGTAACAAAGACACTGTATCAGGTTCTGTAGTTTGCTTGATACAAGTCTGCAGTTGTTACCTTCAGCGCAGTACTATCAATGCATTGTTTACTCTCTCCTGTTCCTTTCCCTCGTCTTGCTAGCTGATCTTTAAGGCTGAAAGCTGTCTTTGCGTTCCCTCACTTAAAAGAACAGAGGACTATACCACTTTCTCTCTTTCTTTTCATCATTCTTAGCCTTATCTATGGTCATGGAACAGGCAACTTAGAACTGTTAATGAAGTATACTTTGGGAGAGTTCACAGGTGTAAGCAAACTTGTTTTTGCTGAGCCTTCTCTCATTTTTTTTTCAGTTCACTTGTACTGTAGCAGGTATCTTAAACCAGTGTCTTTTTTGGAAATAATGATTATATGCTGGTAGCTTCGCACAGCCCTGATAACGTGGTAAGGTATTTATAGTTCAACAAAGCCCTTCCAATCACACAATTCAGGAAGAATAGCTGCAAATTCACAAGAACCCTGAGTAGTCTCAGCTTGGGCTGCAAGGAGTTCTTTTCCTTTTTCTTTTGATTTTGCATAAGCTGCTAATGAATTTTCTCTAGGTTCTGGAATGGTAAGGTACAGGGGATTTTGTGACCTCAGTCCTTTGAGGGAGAGGATTCCCATAGATTATTTCTGACAAAGAAGGGCCAGGATACTTGCAATGCTTGTTCCCTTATTACTCAAATTAACTGCAAGTGGGCCTCATTTTCCTTACATAAAATATTTGTTAATTAGGCATGTTTGCATAATAGTCCTGTTTTCCCATAGAAGGGTTGTACTTCTTCCCAGCAAAAGCAGAACATAGTAAGCCATTCTCCAGTAAGAACTGACCATTAGATGAATGCTACAGTGGTTGTAGAGCACATTTTTTCATATTGTCTTTTAAACTGTGTTCTTCAATCTTGATTAAGGCTGTTTTATTTTACAAATTGGAGTTTGTTTGTACTTGTGTATTACCCTCCTATACACACCTTTTTTCTGATTGTGAAAACTGAGTGTTAAGTTAGTGAGTGTCCTTTAGAGAGAAGCAGGTAGATAATCTTTTGCAAATATTAGTTCCAGTACTTCTAAAAGTCATCGTGATTTTGTATTTGCTAATGAGCTGTGGCACCCTAATTCTCATAGCCACAGATATTTTTTCATATACTTTTACCATGTAAGAAAGGTATTAATTAAGAATTGACTATTTAAGCACAAATAACATGTATATTAATATTCATCAAGACACTACAGATGGATTGCATAAGCATCATTTGTTCCGTTTTCTATCTCTCTAAAAAAGCAAACATTTAATACTTGAACAGGGACAGATCCTCCCGTGATAAGATATCACAGAGCTGCTTGGAGAGTTTATAAAGGCTGTAAGGCATCTACCTTTTCATCTGCATTCCCTGCTCCCAAAGCTGTATTACTTGCATTCCTCAGGGAACTGATAAGATCTGCAATTTCCACATTCTAAGCCTTCAGAGTGAATCATTAAAATTGCAAGTATTTCCAGCCACCTCTACCACACTGGCCCATTGCAGAATGCTTTCTGCTGTCTGGGGAGCTTTACCACAGTTAACCAAGCAAATTACAGATCTGGTCTGTAAGTTGACATAGCTGTTGAATCTTTCCTCCTCAGCACCTCACAAGGAGGGATTCTTGTGAATTAATTCCCTGGACATTGTATGGTAGGAAAGTATCTTAGTTCCCAGCTGATCATCCTCCTACTGTGTACCCCCCTTTCAGTGGAGGGGAAAAGATGGCAAGGAAATGTTATTTTGACAGTTTGATTTTGTAGCAGTTCACTGGTTAAATTTAGAACAGAAACAGTATTGATTAAAACATAGTCCATGCTGCTCTGGGAGTTAGTCTAGCCCTGCAGTGGAAGGACAGATTGGAACATTTGCACTAGAGCAACCTTCTTCTCTTTTCCTCCCCCCGCTCCACCACTCACTGCCCCCAACAAAGCAGCTGTGTCTGCCATTTCTTGGCATTTGAATCATCTTATAAAAGGGATCTGTTTCTGGGACACAATCTTCAAGCTGATTCATGCCAGATAGCCATTTGTTTCTTTGATGCATATGCTTTTTCAGCAATGTCTAGGAGAGGTTCCCAGTTCCTTAAATATTTCTTTCTTCTCTTGGGTCAAGGACATTACCTAAGCCTTCTTGGTGACACAAGCATTGTGTAGTGCTTGGGGTGATGAGATACTGGGATCATCCTTTCCTACTATTTCTCACTGAATAGCAGGGATGAAGATTATTTGAAAAGCCAGTAAATATTTTACGTTTTTTGTACCTGCACTGTCTACATTACTTAAAGGGTTTTCAGAGTTCAGTATTTCAGCCAAGGGAAGGGAGAGTATATTTGAGAGAATAGTAAAGCAGAGCCAAAAGAAGTTGTCCATAGGAAGCTGTAGTTGGACTTTGCTCATCCTATCCCCCCTTCTAGTGCTAATAGATTTTCTCCATACATTTTGTATGTGGCCTTGAATCTCTAAGTTTAGAATGCCTTTTTGCAATAAATACAAAGATTTATATTGATACATTCCAAGTGACATTTTCTTATGCTTTTATTTTCTTAGCTATGGAGCAAAGCCATTTTACATCTCTTTTCTTTTTCCTTTTATGACTTGGCAATATTCTGCACACTCATGTCATAAAAAGCCCTGTGGCTTTGCTTGCAAACCAGCTCTTTGGGCATACTTACAGAGTGATCAGTCTCCTTTTTATCAACATTTATATCCACCGCTTCAGGAGTACTCAGAACCCATCTGTATCCAGTTTGTGATGTCAGGTATTACAAAGTTACAAGATCTGATGAACTCCAGCACCCAGGAGATTCCTGCCCTCCTGGACCTTCACATAAGAGACCACTGGACTATTTCTGGGTCCAGCCAGAAGTGAGGCTAAACTTGAATTGCAAATGAATGCAAACCCCATGAATGCATGTGCAGTACCAACATGTACGATAGAAACACTAACATGAGTAGAAGGACTGTACCTTTACAGGCACCCACAAACAGCATTCCCACGGAACAGGAAAACCACTGATATTCACCAGGAAATTAGGCTTGAAATTTGCTGACATCTCATACACATCCTAATATGTGTGATGGACACACATACTCACACAGTCATGGATCTATCCAGTCTCTATCAGACCTTGAGTCCTTCCAGCATCTGTATCCAACCTTTGGTAGGTTTTTTTTCCCAATCTGTCCTCTGGGCAGAATTTTCAGCTTCTAAATCATGATTTTCTCCAATTCACAGGCTAGTTTGACTTGAATTTTACTTGATGAGCACACTTGACAACTGTTTAGGAGCATTTGAGAAGACAGGATGGGCACAGCCCTGACCTACAGCCTGCTAATTGGTCGGCTCCTTTTATCCTCATCCATCCCTGTTCCCACAGTTATTCCTCCCCTATCTACCTTGATCTTCATCCCCCCCACCATGATCTTTCCCTGTTCCCAAGGGGCTGCTTAGGACATTGTAATAATAGATTTTACTCAGTATTACAATTCCTGACGTGTCCTATGAGAAGCTTATTCTTTTCTGTAAGGCCTGTTCTGGAAACCCTTGATGATATTTTCCTTCCTCATACAAAGTTTCTGGTTGAATTTCTCCAAGGTCACACCCAAATTGTTCACATCCACCCCATCCATCATTGTCCCAGGAGTTCTGATCTTTGTTACTCTCTCATCTGCAGTTTCTTATTCTGTGTATTTGTGTATGTTATTTATTACCACTTCTGTTCCTTTTTTTTTTTTTTTTTTTTTTTTTTAAAATGTTGGATAGCCCATTACCAAATATTCTTACAGTTCCCTGTTTGCTTTCAGCTGTAAAACCAAAATGTAGTGTTTGTAGTGATTTTTTTCCCCCCGACATTCCAAGTTGCTGTAGTCACAACACTATTTAATGATTTTTAACAGAATAAAGATTTCTGAAAGTAGCTAGCTGTTAAGAGCTAACTTACACATTAAAATTTGTATTTTCCCTTAACTGTTTACAGGGTTTGGAAAGGTATGTTTGATATATTCTAAGTTTTTGTGATTTTTTTAAAATTGTACATTTTACTAATGAGAGTGATTCATATTCTTATATTTTCTTCTGTTTCTTTTGGCCCATAATTGTCCTTACTAGTTTGTTATTACTTCACAAGGAAAATTAAAATGATATTTTCTGGGCATCTATTTTGTGGCTGCTACATTCTGCTTTTCCCTAGTGGCTCAGTGTTGCAGTAGAGTGGAGGCTTTGGAGCAATGCTTGCCTATTGTGGGAGGAAAAGTTTTATTTAAGGCCATCTGTACAGAAACAGAAGAGTTCATAAAAATACACACTTCATAATGGAGTGGGCTGCAGTAGAGATCAAGGCCAACTCTGAACTGAATGATAGTCCTACAAATTAGAACTATTTTGTTGCTCAGATTTCAGTCCAGTTTCTTGTTGCTTTGTCACCCATCTTCTATCTCTTACTTTTTCCTTCCACTGTGTATTTCTTGGACTTAAACTAGAATGCAAATCCTTCGGGGTGGCAACCTCTTATTGCCCATATCATTTTTGAAAGTATAGACATCATTCTTTCTTCTGGCTAAGGAGTGCATTGTTCTGTAATATAGCCAACAGGAGAAAAAGAAAACCGCTAAGCTTTTGAACTGCAGTTTGGCTCTTGACCTAGTTCAAGTGGCATACTGGTATTAAAGTGGATTTAAGATAGTGCTTACCTTTGCATTTGTCAATGAAAGTTGGCTTCTGCTCAGGTAGGCATGCTGGGGAACACCCAGCCCAGGCAGGGCAAGACCAGCATTCTGTGCTGTAGCACCTGAATGCAGCAGGCAGAGGGAGATGCTGGTAACAGGAGCCATCAATAATTTTAATTAAGGCAGTGTGAACCATGTCTGGTGCCATCCAGGTAGTCTGGTTAGGAACAGCAGCAGATGGGGCTGAAGTCACTGCTGTAGCAGAGGTTCAACATCCATCCAAGAGATGAGACCAGAAATAGAACTGAAGATAGCTAAAACTACAGCTTGGGAAGAGAAAAAGGTCCTAGGCTGAGCTTAAATTAAATAGGTCTCTGGTCAGTGGGTGTGAGTGGGTCTCCAGATGAGACCACTCGGGGCAATTAATGCCTCACAACTCTCTCTTAGAGGTAAAACTGAGGAAGCATCAGCATTGCCAGCATTTTCATGAGAGGATGTATGCATAAAGGGATCAAAACCTAATCTCTTGTGTTCTTTGTAGTTTCTTTGGTTTAAGGTACTTGGTTCTGCTGTAGGACAGGCTTAAAAGGCTGGTATCTGTTACAGAAATTGTTTAGATTTGGGTGTCAGTGGTTCTGAAATTTAAGTGTTCAGGCAGTCACAAAATAAATGTGTAGTATAAGGATTAGATAATGAATGACTGTGAGTTTTGTTGTTGTTTCAAGTGGATTGTGATTAAGTGAGAGGAGCGTGCTATCCTTTTTTTACTTGCTTTTTTTTTGACCCTGATGAACCATCACACTGCACAGATAGTTCCATCTGGGCTCTACATGAATACATTAAGTTTAATAAGGAGACAGGATGGACTGTGAGAGTGGTTAAGCGTGGGTTTTAGCCAGGCAAATGAATTGACTGACTTATGACTTGACTACTTAAACATAACAGGTCTCTTTTGTGTCCATCTTTTTCCATATTCTTGTGTTTGTTCTGCCTAATCCACCTTGAACCCCTCCTCTGTCTGCCTTTGGCCTTTTTCTTGGACAGTGTTCTGTATCATCTCCCAGATGTCCGTTTCACACAACAGTCCCCCTTACTTTGTATTATTTCTTCTGCCGAATTCCCTTACTGGGTGGGTTTTGCATAGTCAATGAATATAAAGATGTTATAATTATTAAACAAACAAGAGAGTTTGGCAAAGCAGATTACAATAACAAAAAGAGAGTAGAAAGCTTACCCCCATCCTGGGTTCACTGCAAAACTCCAGAGGAGGGATCTCCAGAAGAGCTCCTTCCTGCTGGCAGTCAGCTCTTAAATGGGTCTAGGAGAGGTGGAGCCAGGTTCTCATACAGCACTAAAGATGATGGCTGTAATTATTCACCTTTGATGGTTTTAGTGGTAGTTGATTTGGACAGATGAGACTCTGGGCACACCTCCCTCTTTTCATCTCAATCTTGTTCCTCTGAGTCCTGCCTGCCAACTTCGAATAGCCATTAGTCAGACATTTTGCAGCCTGTTTATTGCCTTTTAATTTAAAAGGCCGACTTGTCAAGTGTTTAAATATAATATAAAAAAAGCAACAACAACTATTTCAAAGATTGATCATGGAGAACATTTACATAGGAGGTGATAGTGCAGTAAAGTTCGAGTTCTAAAAGATACATTAAAGAAAACATGAAATGGTCTGCTTAACCTTCAGTATATTCTGCAGTGATCCGGAACTTGTTTTTTATTGTTTGTTAAATAAATGAGATTTTTGTAGATATTTTATAAATGACAAATATAAATGATATGTTCTTTGTCATTAATGTAATGAAGAGTTTATAGTCACTCTGATGGTAATAAATTATCTTTTATGTCTCTTACAAAAGACAGGCAGGGGAATTCCTGCAATTAAGTAGGATTAATATTTTATGCTACTCTCCATCTAATCTTCAATTTCTTTTTTTCCAGCTGCTGGTTCAGTTTGTTCAGAATACTTCTATTCCACTAGCTCAAGGGCTGGTGGAATCAGAGCCAAAAGACATCACCTGTCTTTCTCTCCTTCCTGTTAGTGAGACCTCAGAATGCAACAGACTCATGTTACCAGGTAAAATCTATGCAGTGGATCTTTGTGAGCATGCTGTTTATAAAGCTGTCTTAAATACTTCTCTGTGGTGCATCATCCCTGCCTCTTGCAGATAATGCATTCCAGTGATGGAGGAACAAGTTCAGAAGAATGACTAAAACTTTTCTCATCTAACAGTGAAGTCAGACTAGTCAGAAATATCCTTTCTTCCCAGTCTCTCTCAAGTTTTTTGTTTGTTTTTAGTTTTTTTTCCTAGAAAAATAACTTCTTAAGTATCTTTTCATCACAGTCTGTTTATACTTTTTGTTTTCTGTTTTATTTTCTTCACCAGATGATGAAAGAGATCTCACTTCTCCAAGTCACACTAGTTCTTCCAAAGATGTTTCTTCATCTGCTGTGTTGAGGAGCCTCCAGGTAAATGTGGGCCCCGATGGAGAGGAAACAAGAGTACAGAATGTACAGAAACCACCTGAACTTCTGTCATCTCCAGAGACTTCCAGTTTATTGCAAGACCTACAGCCCAGTGACAGCACTTCATTTATTCTTCTCAACCTAACAAGAGCAGGTAATTCTCCTGTTTACCATCTGGCTGGGTATGTCTCAGACAACAGAATGCAGGAGATGCATAGTACACCTCTGTCCCTGCCGCTTACGAAAGGGAAACGTCACAAAATTTTCTGCACATTGTTGGATATTCCAGCAGTATTTAATCATCAACAGCTTCCTACAGTACAGAGGTCAGTGAAGATGTTTTCATTGCAGCAATTACACCTATGCAATGAATGCTAGCTTCTGGGAAGGAAAATAAACTTCCTTCTTCCATTTATTACATTATCCATCTGTTTGATGAAGTTGTCTTCTTTTCTAGGGCTGGGCTCTCCAGCAGAGCACTTGGTGTTTGTTCAAGATGAAGTAGAAGATTCTGGGAATGACTTTCTCTCTCATGATAGCACAGACAGCAGTACTCCATGGTTCCTGCGAGTGCAAGAATTGGCCCATGACAGTTTAATTGCTGCAACTCGAGCACAGCTCGCTAAGAATGCCAAAGCAAGCAATAATGGTAGGATGTCTCCTGATTGTGTCTTAGAGGTTGAACGTTCCACACAAGACTCCTAGCTTCATATTGTTTATTCCTCTCTCTTTCACTCTTTCTCACTTTTAAGCTATTCTGTGTGTCCTCAAATTAGCAGTAACAGAGAGTTACGCAGAACAATCATGTAATTTTTCTGTAATATAAATAGGCTCCTCAGTTTTTCTCAGAGAATGAACTTCAGTGAAGCCAGCAGTGCCATTGCAGTCCCTGTGTTCTCTGGTACATGCAAAAAGTATCATTCTTACTACAGCTGTTTTTCTTTTAACCTTCATTTTCACTTTCAGATGTATTTTTAATGCCTATCATAACTTATCCTTTTTTCTTTCCAGCTACTCTAGGTTTTGAGATGATCTATCTGAGGAGTACGTGATTGTATTTAGACATATTTTTATGACAATTATTTCAATTAATAATTGCAAAGAAATGCAGCATCCCTTTTTAGCTAGAGTGTTTTTAAAAATATTACTCTGACTGCTACTTAAAATTGGATGGTTGTTATTGGTATTGAGACTGTTTTTACAGTTTCTGGTGCATTGGTTTTCTATCCTTCTTGTGACAAGGCTCATCTGGTAGCAGGTTGTATGATACAAACAGTTTGCTGGCAGTAGTCTATGGTCCTGGAGAGGATTGTGAATCTGTATCAGATCCTTCTTATGGGTTGGGTAGCAGCACGTAGGACATAGTAAACAATTAGTAGCCTGCCACATCTCTGCTTTACAGTCCTGTATCATGTTTTATGCTGTTTTTATCTATTAGATTTGATGCGTTTTAGTAATCTGCATCTTTTTAAGATTTTGATGGGCTTTTTATTCCAGGTGAAAATGTTCATCTTTGCTCAGGAGATGGGCAGCCGAAAGACTCAAGCCCCATTCCTCACTTATCTCGTATGGAAAGGAAGTTGAAATGCACAGTTGAAGGCTGCGATCGGACATTTGTGTGGCCAGCTCACTTCAAATATCATCTGAAAACACATCGGTGAGCAGAATAAAGTCACACGTTGTCATGACTTTGAAAAAAGATGCTCTGTAGCTGGGAAAGCATTACCTTCTGATGTCAGCAAGCTGTGGAAACCTGGTAAACCTTAGAAATAGTAGGCCTGCTGCTTGCTTCATATGGTCAGTTATGTTGAGACATTTTGGTTAGACAGGTTATTTTTGAAGTTTCTTATTAGTGTTGGATTTAGAATATTTGTGTTTCAGCATGTCTTCAATAAAGATGTTTTTTATTTTTATTTCAACAACCTGAAAAAGTTGAGTGTTGATGAAAAATATACTGAAGAAGATGGTAATGAAACAGCTTTTTTTTATTTTATTGCTTTGCAGGAATGATCGTTCCTTCACCTGCCCAGCAGAAGGCTGTGGAAAAAGCTTTTATGTCTTGCAGAGGCTGAAGGTGCACATGAGAACTCACAATGGTGAAAAACCCTTTGTTTGTACAGAGCTGGGTTGTGGGAAACAATTCACAACAGCTGGAAATCTGAAGAACCACCTACGAATTCACACTGGTGTGTTTTAGACTTCATCTATTTGTGGTCTGAAGAAGTGGGGTCTTAAGTGAGGAATAAAGCACTGCCTCCTCCATCATCAAACTCTTGAAAATATTAGGCTTGTATATCTCTGGCCTTCTTTAATGTCCCTTTTCAGATGAATAATAAGTGAACACCTTTGCTGTAATTATTTTCATAAAGAAGCTATTTTAAATTCCTGAAAAGCACAATAGCTTAGGTGTTTCTTCAGTGTGAGTCCTGGTAGACAGTTGTAGCTATACTGACATTTGGCTGAATCTGCTTACCTTATGCTGCATGTAGAATGACTGTGTGTGAGAGATTTAGGGAAATGAGTACAGTGGAATGAGTATCAAAAATCAGCAAAATCTCATAGAAAAAGGCATTAGTTGAAGAAAGCATTTTGGCATGCAAACTGCTCTATTTGTAGTAATGCTAATTCGGGATGTCACCATATATTGGATCCTATGTACTCTTAACTAATGCACAATCTTTTATATTAAATAAAAGAAGAACCTTTATTTCACAGTGCTGTATTTTATACATGGTTTGTTTATGCTGCTTCATGTGCAGAATTCTGCCTTGTCAGTATTTTTAGAAGTTTTGCCAGCCAAAGTCTTGACAATGTATAGAGTGCTTTACAAGCATTTACCCTAGAAAGGTGTTTGAAGAGCTGCAGAAATTCCTTCTGAAACGATCAGCTGTTTTAATCTAAGTTAGCAAAGTTGTTAGTGAATATTTTGGAAGCTTTGCTTGTTTGTTTTTTAAGCCTCAAGGTTAATGCATCACTGAAACAAATGGCCCAATCCAAGCCTCCCAGAATGTTTTTGGAGATTCCCTGTTGGCCTGAGAAGGTAGTGCTGCATTACAGCTGGTTAACGTTTCAAAATAAACTTGAAAACTGGGAGAGCACAGCAGCCTCTCTTGTAAAATGAAATTTCCAATTATGTGGGCTGCTGGCAGCTGCACGTGCTTTCTGCCTTAAGCACTACCTTCTGCTGGGTACTTTGTAAAACGCACAGGGGAAAAAGTTGCTGTTTTAAAGGCATTTGCAGTCTAACTAGCAAACGTGGTTTGGGTGCAGATGTTAGGATGTAGTTAAAAGTGATATATGCCAAAAATAAAATTTTGAATATACAGTAACTAACCATAGTTTGTACAGGTGGGGTTTTTGTGTGCGTGTGTTTAAAGCTCCCAGCCAAAGCTTAAACAATGTAAATAGGCCCAGGTTACTCATGCTCAATCTTCTACAATAGTGTTCTGCAGTCAGCAGAGTAGTAGCTTCTGGAAAAGATGTCTTTTTAAAATGTGTTTTGATAGCATGTGATTAAGAGCTTGATGAGATCTAAGTTATAAACTGCAGATATACAAATACATCTAAGGTTTCTTATAGATGGGATTTTATACTGTTGTTTTTGTCAGTGGTAGTTTTTATTTCTTTCTTTCCAAGCGTTAAATGGTTAAAAAAAAAAAGAAATTGCAAATAGTGTTTGGGAATCCGGTACTTGTTTCAGTTCTGTAACACCAACTGATCTGTTAAATGCTACAGCAGATACGAAGCTGAGAAATAAACTGTAGAGAGAGGACTTTTAAAGGCAAAATCACAGTAGAAACAACTTAAAAAATAAGTTTGCGCTTGAAGAGCTACATACATGTTAGACAAAATAACTTCAAAATAACTGAAGTAGCTTGCTTAATCTATGAAGTTGTTATTCTGACACAGTAGCATAAAAAAAGGCTTGAAATTGTACTTTTAAGCATGGCATATTGAGATCTTTAGTGGGATGTTGCAGGCAACAGTTAGCTTTGATTTTCTTTAAGGCATTAAAAAGGAGTTTAGAACAGATTAATTACATTACAGTGCACTAATACAGTCATCTCCCAGTTTATGATCATGTAGACAAATGCAATGTTAGCTCTGGAGGTATATACAAATAGCAACTTTCTGTCTATGAGAACAAATTGTGCCTTGAATTACTGTTCTTTTGTGAATAAATATAAATGACTGACACATCTCTGTCAGGTTTTTGCCAAGGTCATCCTGATCTGAAATAAAGTATAGCATCTGATATGAAGGAAAATACAGCTAATAGCATTTTTGGCACTGAGAGGCAGAAAGGCAATAGGATCCTGGGAGTTGCTCAAGCATGAAGATAGTTCTTAAGACCTGCACATAAATGCTGCATCATTCCAGACCCTGTTTTATTACTCTTTTGGTATTTATTCAGTTGGAAGATCTCTTTAGAAACAGAGCATCCTTTCTTATCTGTCAGTTAATGATGACCTAAGAATATTTAGGAAGAGAATTTGAACGTTTCCTCTTGAAAGTTGATAAAGAGAATGCTTTATAGAAGATTTAGGAAGCATATGTGTTATTTCTATTGACTTTGGTTACATGTATGGCCGTAAAGGAGAATGAGGTAGAGATCTTTAGGCAGTTCTCGGTGATTTGGACAATCAAATCAAGTTGTGAACCCAAACTATAAAAACTTACTTTTCCTTTCCAGGGGAAAAACCCTTTCTGTGTGAAGCACAGGGATGTGGTCGTTCCTTTGCTGAGTACTCCAGCCTTCGAAAACATTTAGTTGTCCACTCAGGTAAGAGGCTTCATTTGATATGCTGTGATTTAACTGAGAAAAGAACTTTATTATCAGAGTTTTATTTGACTTCCTGAAGAAAAATGTTCTGTTTTCTACGGAATTTTTGGCTGTGCTTTTTGTCAGTTTTCTTTGTGTTACCTGTGGCCTGCACAGTTTATTTTATTTTATTTTTTCTAAACGATATGTTTCTAAATTCGAACTACATTTTTAAAATCTATTTTCTAAAGTGTTTTTAAGATGTCATGAAGTTGAATATCTCTTTCATAGCTGCCATTTTCTTATTTTAAAAAGAGAATCTAGCATAGCTTTACATTAATCAAAGCCATTCAGTCTCTCATGATTGAATTTCTGCCATAGGTAGAGGATTTTTTTTTTGTAATACCACGTACTTGTGATCTAATGCTACAAAACATTAGATGGACATTTTGTGCGTATTTCAAAGCTTCTGCTTTCTGTTTTGATTGATCTGTCTTAAATATCTTCAGCACAATATAAATATGGCTTGTTTGAAGAAGGGATTATCTTAGTTCTCCATGCTTTTTATAACATCTATCTTCCTGGTTTGTAGCTACTGAGCTCTCTCTTATTGATATCATACTTGGTTGTAGATGGGAGGAATGATAGACTCCTTTGTCTGTCCTCTGTGAAAATCCTTTTACAGTGACACTATCATTCAGTATCTACTCAGTCACGTTAACCAGATCCTGTACTTCTACTGTATGATCAGAAGCTCACCTCTGATTTCTTGCTTTCGGTCAGTTTGTACTCTAGTTTATGAGATACTGAGTAAGAGATTTCAAATAACTCTCCTCCTATATATCAGACTTTATTTTACTCTTCAGAACTGAGTTTTCCAACAGCTAGCAACGTTGGTGTCTAAAACTCATGTTCTGGAAGCTTACTGCTCTATAGGAAACTTTCTCACTTTTTTTTTTTCACTGATATTTAGCACAAAGGGTATCAACAGCCATTTAAAAACAGTGCTATTTGACAGCTTGTTTAATGAGATCTTTATTCCCGATTTGTTAATTCATAGAATACTTTTTCCCCCTTTTTCTCCCAGGAGTGAAACCCCATCAGTGCCAAATTTGTGGGAAGACATTCTCCCAGAGTGGTAGCAGAAACGTGCATATGAGGAAACATCACTCCCGAATTGGAACAGGTGGCAGCAGAGAGCAAGAACAACCAGGTAAAGAGGGGAAAAGTGCTCAAATGAAGTGGGTGGTCAAAGGGAAGGGGAGAGACCACAAGACAGTAAGGAATAGGAGACTGTTCCTCTTGGTGTTGAGAGTGGATTACTCACTCTCTCCTTTTCTAGGATAGAAGACAAAGTTATTTCTGTATTGTGGTTGGGATGGATTGTTTTATTTTAAAAATTAAGATGAATCTCTTTTTTTTTTTTTTTTAACATTAAAGTTGTTCCATTTGTTATATATATTTTTTGCTGTAAGAAGCCTTGTGTAAATTATTTCAAGAAAAAGGCAAACCTGCCTGAGATCCTGACATACTAAGGTTCAAAACAAAACAGAAAAATATAGGAGTTACCATCCATGGGAGATCCAGGTGCTCAGACTCTGAGTAGTAACTGATAAACCTGATAAAGCAGGTGACTAATGAAGAAGTCTGTACAAATTGGAGGAGGCGAAGGGATGTGTCATATGCTGTGGTATCATTACATGATTTTGTTTTACCCCTTTTTTTTCCACAACAGAGTTGTTGATGGGCAGTAGTTTGCTGGAAGAATCTACAGTGCATAGTAAGAATCTCATCTCTGTGAACTCTCAGCCCAGCCTTGGTGTGGAGTCTCTACATCTGCCAGATACTGAGTCTATTATTGGAGTGGAGGAGGGTGAGACCGGCTGCTCTTTCTTCCGCCCTCTTATATGTAGTGACTGAAGTGGGATTGATTGCTCCTCCTAGAGACTCACCATGTTGCAGTGGGATGAGTAAGCGTTGCTTTAACTGTGCACAGAGCGAGTTGGGTAGATGGCAAACAAATGATAATGCTGGAGCTGGAGAAGACGTACTGGACCAAGTTTCTCCCTACAGAGCTCAAAATGTGGTCTACTGCTTACATGTCATTTAGCCCATGTCGTGGAACACCATTTCAAAACTGTTCATGCAGTCCATTCTCCTAAAGCCTAAAGCACTTGTTATACTGGAGCACTTAGAAGTTCCAGCTAAGGACCAGGATCTCATTGTGTTAGGCACTGTACTGAATGTACAAACATTCAGTATCTTGAGCAACAGACCTTTCATACTTTACCTTCAGAGACTATATTCTAATACATCTCACTGTCAGGAGCTGACTTAATACCTGAAATAAATGTACGACTTGGTATCATTTAATTACAACTGCTGTGTTCTTTTCCAGTTGCTTCTTTCCTGAAATTTTCTTTGATATATTAACCTCTAAAAATTACTCTACCATGTAGATGTTTTGAATTTTTGTTAAGATAAAGTCATTTTTTTCATTCATTCTGTTCTTCATATGCTGTGATTCTGTGATTCAGAATTAGCATTATTAAGGAAGCAGAATTTTGCTAAGATACTGCCTTTGTTATGGCTCCTGTGTGAAGAAGATGAATTTATATTGCTCCCCAGCTAATGTAAATGTAGTGCTGCTGTTGGTAAAGGTATTTACAATTTGGTAAAGATATTACAATTTCAGTCTAGGGGACAGCACTCAGCAGATGCAATGTGTAGAATGCTGAACTGAAAAGAAGAGGAAAAAAAATAAAACCAAAACCAAAACAAAAAAAGCCCCACAAGCCTGAGCTTAGGTTTGTTGGAGATTCTTTGCATCAGTAAAGACTGCTGAAACACAACATGTTGAGCTATGCTTCAGCATGAACTGATTTCTTTGAAAGTGTTACATAGTAACCCAAAACCCTGGGGCCCTAAATTCTAAGTTCTAATACTCTTTGTGATTTTCGGTGCCACAAACTCAGTTTTATGTATCTATCTAATTGCTAGCTGTTACAGGTATTGTATTTTTATTTGGTGATGAGGAGGAATTGTTATGGAGAAATGGATTGAGCTAAAGAAGATAAAAGAAGACACAACTTCCATTTATGTGTGGAAAAGATCAATGAAGAAATTGGACAATGCAGGAACACTGATAGTCATTATAAAATCTTCCAATGTCAAAGTGTTCTGACATCACAGCTCTCAGAAAACAGGTGGTAAGGGTTTATATTTTTGAGATGCTTATTACTATCAAGTAAAGGAAGATGACTAATGTGTAATGACCAATGACTAACTATACCATTTAAGATGCCCCAGGCACTTGAGCATGACATATTGACAGGTAATACCTAATCTTGCTTCCACTGAAGTCCATCTTTGATATCACAGTAATAGCAGAATTAGAAAAATAGCAATCCAAAGTTCTGCATTGCTTAATTACAATCTTAATAATTTTGGTTGTTTTTCAGACCAAATAAATGACCTGAGTTGGTAAGAAATTGAAACTGAGTTTGAAATAATGGATTTATGTGAGAGATTTTAATATAGAAAGAGTATTGCTTTTTCCTAAAGACAGGGAGAAGTAGAGCTGGTAATGAGTGAATGAAGAGCTAACAGTCCAGAAAAGAACCTCCTCGTGAAACTTCTTCCAAGGTAGGTCAAGTCATGCTTTTTTTGTGTAGAAACTTTGCTTAAAGTCAATTCTACCACATGCATCTACAAACTAATGTCTGGCACACCGAGAGAACTCTCACCTTTCTGTGTGCTTCTCTGACATGGACATAAGCAGCTGACATTAGAAGATGAACTTCTTCAGTCTTCCGTATCTACTTTTATCCAGAGATAGCGCTTCAACCTTTGAAACTTTTTTGTTTTGTTTATTTGTTTGTTTTTAAAGAAAGGAAAGTGGCTCACATGAGAAACAATCAAGAAGACTAAAAGAGCCTGTGGTGTTTGCAAATTCGGACAAAATGTGACCTAAACAACAGTTAGTCTTTTTCTCCTTTATTAAGTTTTTACATCTCACTTACCCCAGAACAATTATTGTCAGCCTGAAACAGAAAGTTCCTGAGGATTAATGTGGGGACACATTAAAAATCAAAAGATAATGGACGGATTCTTCTGCTAAATTTTATGTTGTCATTTCTTTTCCTTTCTGTTCTTCTTGAGGTTCTCCTTCCTGTATAGTACAAACTTCCTTTTCGCTCCGAAGCTTGGGCAATCTGCAGAAATAGTGATTATCTAATACTGCAAATATCTTGCTGTTTACTCCACCAAATAAGAAATACATGGACTACCTAGCTGTCATAGAAATTAAGATGGATAAAATATGCTGCTTAATTAAAGAGGAGTGGAGTTGATCTAATTTTACCTATATTACATGGTACAATCCAGAATTGCTTTATGAAAACTGAAAATATTTCCAGTCAAAGACATAAAATCTCTATTGCATTATTACCTGTGAATGTCAGATTCTTCTTCCAGCAGGTCAGCAGCATCTTTCCCTTTTTTCCTTACAAATTCTTCACTTAGCCCAACCTGCTGGAGGGTGTTTCTGTAGCGACGCTCTGCTCCTTGACGAGCATCATGCTATCAAATTGAAACAGTAAGCATGTAGAACAGGGGCTTCTCTATTAGCCAGCTTATGTTGTTTTAAAGTTTGGGGCTGACACTGCTAATGAGAACAACAGTCCACAATTTTTGTCTACCATAGAGTACAAAATTGAAATTGAATATAGGGAGAATGTTCTCAACATTTCTCAAAGTTGGAGCTCATCTTTTCCTGCATCTGTTTTGTTTTGTGTTGTGTTTTTTTTTTTTTTTTACTTCCCTCTTCTGTTGTGTTTCTACAGCATACAGTGGCACACTTGTGTCTGAATCCTGACTGACACCCAGATTGAGAATATGTGCTAAAAGGGTTGTGAAAAATTCTGGAAGCATATTGGCCTACAATTTGTAAGCACTAACCACAAGGGACTTCAAAAGAACTTGTAAAATAGCTTCATATCAGCCTGTGTTCAAGAAGCTAAAAGCAAAGCACCCTGGTTCTTATATTCTCATTGCCTCCACACAAACTTCACAAATTAATGTAGTCGGAAATGAGGCTTTCCAGAGGTAGTGGGCAGTTTCTAAAGATTAAGGTCTTCTATATGGTAGGATAAAATTATAGTCTCCAAATGGGTTTGTTATCAATACTGATTAATTCTCACCAATGTGACAAACAGAAATATTACCAAAATTTATCATACAAATGTGTTCTCTGTCTCCATTAATCACTCACCTGAACAGAAAGTTTGAGTCAAGAGGATATTTCTACTGAGAAAACTTAGATCAGTATATAGCTACATATTCTCAGTATGTCTCTAACCAGTTATCTGTCAGCTGTGCAAGGAGAAAGAACTGAAAGAGAAAACCCTGGGAAATATATTTTATAGAAAGTAAAGTATTTAATTGCAGTCATCTGAGGTGTGGAGATTTCACTGTGTGATGGTGATATGTGCTCAACAGCCAGCCAAGCTTGCAGATGATAGAAGTGATTCTACCAGACAGGATGTTTTAAAAAATTAAAATTTCTAGACTGCAGGCCATTGTATTCAGGTGCAGAATGGGCAGTCATATCATTTCTGGTGTGAAAAGGCCTTAATTTTGAGCAGACCATATATTTTGATTGCAATATATACTAGGGGTTGGAAAGTTCTACAATCAAGAGGTAAGTACCAGTGTTTTTTAAGTCATGGAAAGGAATTTTCCTAACACTTGTGTGGCTGTCCCGTGTGTAGGCCAAAGACTGTACAAGCATTAGCACCTAACTGTGAATAACTTAAGACTAGATTTCTTAGTGCCTGTCCTAAATGAAAGACATCCTGTTATCCAGAGACACTTGGAACTTTGACCAGTTACCTTGGAGACCTGTTCAAAGAGGTATGGTCTGTTCTTGACTCGCAGCTGCATTTCTTCCAGCTCCTTTCTGTACTCCTTTGTTCTTTCTCTCATATTTTGCCTGAAATGAAAAATTTCCATGTCCAAAACAGGTTTCGTTCTGACTGTAGCTGATAGGGAAAAAGGAATTCTCAGTAGCCATTTAGTCCTTTAAATAGCTCTGAGATTCCAAATGTGATTCCATGTGATGGCCAGAACACTGCTTTTGCTACAATGCTACACACCATTAGCAAGCTTTACTAATTAGAGTGTAAGCTGAGAATCGACATTAACATTTTTACAAAACCTTGTCTTATGTGTTTTATGTACATTACCAAGGGAGACATTGAAGTTGTACAAATTAGTTTCTACCAATGTTAATGTAAAGAAAGCTATTATGTGTGGAAAAGGTAGTGCTTGTGAAGAAATCCATCTGAATCTGGAATGGGTATAGTAGCTAAAGGTTAACTCTAAGAAAACTCTTAGACTAACTCCTCCTAAAGAATTACCTGATCATCCCCAGTTACCAGAGCAAACAGTTATTTCTGTGCAGAATAGGATACTGACCGGTTCTGTTTCAGCTTCTCCTTGTGTGTTTCATCCAGACTTTTATGTGGATCCAGGGCTTTTGCTCGACTGTTCACTGACTTACGAATAGCATGACATTTCTTTTTCTGTTTCTCTACCCAGCAAATTCCTTCTTTGTCTCCTTCCTTCTTGCTCTCTTGGGAGCATCTGTATAGAAGAAAGTAAGTAATAAGCTCACTTAAGAGTTCCAGACTGTATGGTGGTTGACAATTTCACTTTTTGCTGTTCTCCTTAGAAGATTACAAATTTAGTGTGTAGCTCCCAAACTGACTGAGGCAAGACAAGAATTAGTGAGAAAAGAAGACCAGCCACAGAGAAACAATTAGGATACTATTGTCAATGTGATGAGGGAGAACATAACTTTCTCCATTTCAGTCACTAGGTGGTGTATGGTCTTGTAGGCAAAGTTTTACTTACCTAATAGCAGATTCCCTTTTTCTTGTTGCATCTGTAATATGCACTGGAAGGGTATTGGAAGAGAGAGAGGAAAGTGCAGTCAAAGAATGACTTTTTTGCACAGAAACCTTGGAAAGTTGTTGAGAATCCTGAAAGAAATGGAACTTTATTCAGTGTGATTTTTCACAGCACAAAAGCTCCTCTGTTCGTTTGTCTAGTAATGAGAACAGTTGGAGGTATGTGGGCAATGCACTCATTCTTCTGTCTTCCATCATTAGGGATTTACATGGGGACAGACAGAGATGAGCAGGAAGGAGACTTGCTTAGGAGTATAGAAGAGAAGCTGAGCCTTAGCTGCCATAGCTCATCTCTTTATTCTTTGATTTGTCCTAGAATTCTGCAGTACTCCTGAGATAAGTACCAAGGCCACAGGTCTCACTAAAGGACATAAGCTATAACAAGTAAATGCTATGTATTTAAGAACTTGCCATCAGGGAAATCAGGGAGAACAGTACCACAGAAATATCTAGTCATCTCACCTTTATCTTTTCATTAGCTTCTCTCTGCCTGCCACGGAGGTTGGAGGTTCGTAATTTGAATGGCTTAAT